AGACCCCGAAATAATGGAGTCTGCAATGCACACTGTCATTCCTGGAAAGGGCTGTAGACTGCCCAAGGAAACCAAACAATAAAAGCACGACCCTTGATTTAACAGACACATTTCAGTATAAACCGAACGCTGCAGCAGTTTCAAGGCCAGTGCTTGTACTGCACCGGAGAGGCCGTCACTCCTAACAGCACCATCAAGGTATGCACCACTCAGTGCTGGGTTAAAACAGAGAAAGATGATTTCTAACAATCGGTGATGAATTAAAAACTACGCAACAGGGCTGGAGAGATGGCTCAGTGGTTAAGAGCACTGACTGCTCTTCCAGAGGTCCTGAGTTTAATTCCCAGCAACCACATGGTGGCTCACAGCCATCTATAATGAGACTTGGTGCCCCCTTCTGGCTTGTGGGCACACATGGAAGGAATGCTGTACACATAATAAATATATAAAAAAAACTACGCACCAGACTATCAAATGGAGTTCTTGTAACAGTCTGAAATTATAAGGACTAAAGGAAATATAAAATACACTTCAGAAAAGGTAATAATAGCAGAGCTACCCTAAGACTGGTGTTGATGGACCTGTCAGAGCTAGTGATGGTGCTAATGGACACCCAAACCGTCTCACACTACAGACTACAGGAACACACCTCAAGGCAACACCAGACAGATTATCAATTTAAGAACTGTGGAGATGATGAGGACCCAGCTAAGCCGGAAGCAGGCGGGTAGCCCTGGCCAATCCCTGACACCCTGACTTGAGATGTGAAAGCAGTGGACTCCATCATCACTTACTAGATCACTTATTTTTATGCCCTGCCAACTCTCCCAAGGAAGGCTTTTCTAAGACGCTGGACCTAGCAGCATAAGCGGCAGTCACCCTATTTAACTGCGTATGCATTAACACAACCTCATCCAGACCTAGTCCCGCTGCAGCCAATGGCCTCAGCCCATCTCACCGAGCTTCCATCCTGCCTGAACATCCTAACTGTAGTGGACCTCGGTGCACTCTGGTCTTTCTCCTGACTAGTTTCCTTATAGCATTAGCTAGCGTGTCTCCTGCTAGAACACCATCAACACTGAACCTTCATCGCATTAGCCTCTGCATTCATGAAATAACGCTGGCACTGGCCCCTTCCTCGACACACGGACTGTAACTACAGTGTAACTACAAGGTGCCCTATTTATTGGATGCAGTCATCAAGGCATGACGCCCCACTTCAGACTACCAGCATCCTAGCCTGGCTAAGCCATGTAACACTGGACACTCCTTTTCTCTGCCTGTGCAGTGTAAATCACACTCATCTTCAAAATGTTGATGAACCCGAAGTGAAAGAAAAACACACAGCATCTGCTTCAGAATCACTAAGACGAGGCAGTACTATGGCTAACACCCACATGGCTTAAAGCAGTAAAACTCAGCCAAGTCAGCGTTATATAGTTCACCTTCATGGTGTGTGTGTGTGTGCGTGCGCGCATGACAAAGAGAGGGAGAGAAAGAGGGGGGGGAGGGAGGGAGAGAGAGAGAGAGAGAGAGAAGGGGTGGAGAGACAAAGAGTCTGACCTCCTTGGTTCCTGCTTATGTCCCTAGAGAACCTGTTCCTAGCGTACATACGCACGGCTTCTCTGCTCACATCAGACAGATGCTCCTGTAGACCAGTCTCTAGCTCTCCTAAGCCTGTGCCTCCTCTGAAAAACACTTTAGCTGTGTCCTAATTTTCCCTAAAGGGCAGAGAACTCTTTTTCAAGAAAGAAAACTAAGGGTAGAAAGAGAATAACTGAAGAGCATCTGAAGGGAACCCGAGCCAGCACAGCAGGAGCACAGGCCGCCGCGGGAAGGCGGGCGCAGCGGGGCTTTCCGCATTTCAGAACTGCTTTCCTGTGGATAGCAGAAGACAGGAGATCTTGGAAACTCTAGAAAAAACTTCCAGTGATTTCCTCCTAATCAGATAAAATTTAACAACAACAGCAACAAAGATATTAGGAGAAATTCTCAAGTTTTCTTCACTCTTTTTCTCACACCGACTAAATCTGAAAGGAGAAAAAAAAAAACTTTTTATGTGTATAAAATGGAATCTTGTGAGACAAGAAGTGCCCCAAGGCCTCAGGCTTGGACTGTCCCCATCAGAACCCTGATGACTTACGGTTGTGGGACCACAAGCTCCATACAGGTGCTTTCTCGAGACAGCTAACAAAACAGAAGGCAGGCAGTACACCAGCCAAAGAAATACAACAACCTACACTGACCGTTTACTTAACAAGGTCTAGTAATTTAAAGGGCAAACAGAAGCAGAATTTGTGCCAGGCAAACAGCCCACGGTTAGCTTCTCACTTGCCGTCTGTCTGAAACTCACCTTAAAATGGAACCAAAATCCCAGTACCCAATGGATGTTTCAAATCTGCAATATGCATATCAGAGATGAAACCATCTCTGTACTTCTCTGCAGTTCACTGCACGGTACCTAGCCACTGACCACGCTCGGCTCTACTCATCACGAGGACAACGTCCTCACGCTCCCAGCCACTGACCATGCTCGGCTCTGCACTCCTCCTCATGGGGACAACGTTCTCACACTGGGCTACACAAACAGTAATCTAGATTCCCAAAGCTGTGGCTGACAAAAATCAAAGAATTTGATGGCCAGAATAGGTGTCAAAGTAGAACATTTTTTTTTCAAGTGAAATCTAAACAAAGCCAAAAACAAGAGTTGTTGGTTATGGGGGAAAGCAACCAAGTGCCAGTTCCTGCAGAGTGAGGACTCCAGTGGATACTTCCTTAAGTCTGAGCTTTCAACCGCAATTCCTTCTTATGTTCTCACCCAGGTACCAATCTCTGGGTATTCAAAGAGTAGGTAGATACCCTTAGCAGGGACGCTGTAACCACAGAAGAAATCGTTAGGGAAAAGGAGCCAAGCATGTCAACTGAACCATAGGCCAAAAGATACGCTCAAAAACCCGGGCCTCAGGTTTCAAATTTGCAATCTGGCGTCAGGTATCTGGAGGAGTAAAGAAGGGACAAAGACAAGAAGAGAAAATTAGTTGTGGTACCAACTTGGTTTCTACTCTACAGAAATACGAAGCCTAGTCACAAATAAAAACTGAAGTCTCAAGTCCTCACTGTGTTTCCTAATGCTCTACTCTAGGGTCACAGGTTAACCTACCGCCATCCTCCTCACACCCTGACCCAGTGTCATTCTCCACACAAAGCAACACCGTACAAGCCCTAAGAAATTAAGAAAATGGGTGCAAATCGAATAGACCTGATGAGCATGTAACACCAGTCCACAGGAGGCTGAGGCAGAAGCAGGGCCACGAACCAAGGCCAGCCTGGGCTATGGAAGGAGCTCTAAGCCAGCCTGGTTAGCACAGTTGAAACTCTACCTGGGGGGGGGGGGGGGGGGGGGGGGAGAAAGGAAAAACAAAAAGAAGAACTAAGTATGTTAAAATAATCCAAGAATCAAAACCGAGCTAAGCGCAGGGCCATTTCTCACAACTCACGCTGTCAGACCATCCTATGTTTCCTGGAACTCGGAAGCCTCTGCTGGACACTTCAGCCTGAACGGTCACATGATCTAGCAAAACTGGGGTGCCACTGTTTTTTTAAGAACTGAACATGCTTGGTGTTTGTTGAGTAGCTATTGGTCCTACTATAAACCAATGGCAGACTAACAAGGTGGGCTTTGTCTACATAAATGCTCCAAAAGGCTCAAACCAGCCACTTAAATCCAATACCTAAATCAGAAACTACAAAATGAGAGCTCTAACTGATCCAGGCACACCTCAATCAGCCCACAGGGCAACACTTTAAAAATGTGATTTCCTACATAAGCTGGGTTTCTGTAAGGAAGCAAGAGAGGAAAGAGCTGATGCGCCCAGACTCCCAAATGACAGCACCAGCAATCTCTACTCCAGACACTGCCTGAGAAGAGCTGCATCTCAGTTTACCTCACACAGCATCACCAGTAAACGCAACGCAGACGAGTCCAGGGAGCTCCTCGAGAGGCGTACTAGACACCTACTTCCCACTCCACCTTCAAAGGCCTTCCAAAAAAGGTCACTCTCACCAAGATGAGAAATTGGGGGTCTGAAGTGGCTGAACACCCTAGAAGTGCGAGCTAGGATCTAAAACAAGTTCTATCTACCTTTAAAGGACCTTACAGGCCTTCCCACTGCCAATTCTTACTGATTCTACCATAGCAACCATATCTTTACTTGGGACCTTCCGCTCTTCCGTTCATTTAGAAAACAAGGCCCTGGTTTTGCACATACTGAAGCAGAGCTCTTCTCATATCCAGTCATCTCATCATAAGCCATCCCCACAGCCCTTCAATGCTTTAGTACATGAACTATGTGCATTTGTCAACCTAACGTGGGACCAGAGTCCTTGGAGAATGGTGCTGATCATCCAGTTCCCCCGCGACAGTCTCTCTGTGCCAGCTGTGCCGCGTCTACAAGGCACATCTAGCTTCATTATGGCAATCTACGCACCGATGCACAGATGCAGAGATCATGACACTCTGGGGCACTCCTTCTCCTATAGCCAGGATTTTAGCCACTCACCTTGTATCAAGACATTCCAGAGATCCCAACTTGGATTTCAGAGTCAAGTTTACCTTCATTTGGTCAATTTATATGATAAGCAAATTACTATAAAAAAGAAGGTTTTCTGCCATAAAATCATCTTAGAAACCAGTGGAACTTCTGGGCAGGAAAGCTCCTCTGACTTGACAGCAAACCTCCTGGCACAGGGGGTCACCATGCTATAGTCTCTTAAAACTACAGACAGCAATGACCCTGGAAGGCAGCTGGCGAACCGGTTATGCTCACAGCACAGGACCACAGGGACAACACACCTGACCAAAGAGAGCTGCAATCTAGCACAAGAGGTAAGGCTCATTCACCAACTTGCTGTGCGAGAAAGACACATACCATGGGGAGTGCTCACAATGGAAACACTGCCATCTGTCTACATTATTAACAGCGGAAGGAAGGCCTTGATACCTGCTTAAGGTAGCAAGTGAGCTGAAAAGATCTTGGAGGCTTTCATGGAAGCAGCGTGGTTTTATGGAAAGGGAAGGCCCTCCAGACAGAGAGGCAATGAGATGCATGCACCAAGGAAACAAAAGGCAGCTGCAGATCCAGGGATCCACAGCTCTGCCACTCAGCATCTGGAATGGAGAACACAGGCAGTGAGGACGTTAGAAAAAAGTAGGCTGGAATTATACCAGAGCCCCCATGACGTCACATGGTGACATCTCTGACTTCTGAGAAGAGTGTGCCCTGACTCAGCAAGCGTTCACAGTATCAACTGGTGTGAAAACTAGATATCCAATGTCATACAACGCTATTTCCTTATTAAAATTCATCTCAGGTTTGTAAAGTGTTCCGAGAACAAACACCCTTGCACTCCAACAGTGAATTTACAAGTACTAACTCATCTCCTCAGTGATACATGAGAAGAAGCCACCAACAAACTTCAAGAATCCCAGGGTGCTCATCTGAGGCTGGAAGCACACGCGACTGAGACTACAGAAGGGAAGGTTTTGGTCCCAGGCCACAGAACAGAGAAGTTAGAAAGCAGCTAACAGGTGATTCTGGGAACCACAGTCCTCTAAGTCTGAACCACACTGAGTCTGAAATGCCAAGGTGGCATCTAAGCGTCTACGACAAGCAGAGGGAAAGCCAGTTGGGGGCTTGATTCAAAACCACACGTCACCTAAATGATCAAAGGCGAAATTATGTAAATGAGGGAGTATCAAAGAAGAAAGTCAAAAAACAGCACCACAGAAAGCCAAGAACACTGGATGACAAACTCCACAGGATCATACTTCAATACAAGCTCGCTGACAGACTATGATATCTGGACTTTTTTCAATCCCATAGACCCATAAACTATAGCTCATTTTTCCAGCTAGTAAATGTAAAACCCTTTCTTAGAACACTGCCCATAAAAAGGGTAAGTAGTGGGGGAAACAGCCTGTCAGTCTCTACTTCTACAGTAACATAAGGACAAGAGGGACAGATTAATTGTCCAGCAGTTTCTCTTTTATGCAAACTGACAACTCATCAGGCATTTATTTAATTCCTTAAGTTTGATTTTCCTAAACAAAAACAATTACATGTGTTGACAACAAATCTCATGGTTTCACAATATGGCCTTCTTAGCTGAAATATTAAAAGGAGGTTCCCTTTTCTCTTGCATATATAAACTCATGAGAATACATAAACAAAATCCACTATAAAGCCAGTGACTAAGTCAACTAGGAAAAATCTGACCATTAAACCAACTGCCAAAGCCTTTAGCCATATGAATAATCACGACAGACTTCTCCCCTCCACCCTTCCTTCCCCGGTCACGTTCAGCCAAACCAGATAAACCAACTAAACCTGAGCACCACGGCAACAGTACTTACTACATGGAAGGTGTCCTTCACAAATCGTCTCTCCCTGTGGGACATTTTAAGGAGATTCTCTAGTGATAAGATTTAGTAGAAAATCTCTAGTGAGCATTAGTGTGAGTGCGGGAGTCCAGTAGGGTAGAAGGTGAGCATCTGACAGGACTGTCAGATATACAAACCATGTCTGACAGGGAAGGACTCCTCACCCACAGCTCAGGGCAGAGGAGGCCTCCTCCTTCTGTCCCCTGTGGCTGCAGAGAACTGGAACCCAAGAACTTAAACGCCAAATCAAAGCAGAGCACTGCTCACAGAGAGTTTGAAAACGCACAGCTTCTAGCACAGCGCCAAGACAGGGTATTAGAGACCCGAGCTAAGCTGATATGCTGGGCCCAAAGACAAAGAAACGACTGACATGCTCACCTGACAGCCGGACACTTCCACCCCACCTCTGCACTGACTAACAACAGAAACCTCACCGTGTCCTGATAGCAAATGCCGGCCTGCCCACCTGTGAGTTCTGAAAGGCCCCTAGGAGGCTACTGATCCTAGCATTCCTTCCCAAATATCCTAACTTAGTCACAGCTCCGGAACGCCACAAAACTTTGGCCAGGCTGTCTTACCAAAAAGGCCTAGGTGAAAGAAACTGTGAGAACCTCTTCCGCTCTGAACTTAGGAAATCAGTGCCCTCTGCATCTTAAAGAGTTCATTTCTGACAGTCTTCTGTATCTAACGCCACAGGATACCCAGAACCACAACCTACACACTACTTAAGTGAGTTACTGAAAACAGAATCTGCTTGTCCCTGAAGTTAACATCGGGGAGCATGAACATGATGTCTTCATGAGGTAAGTACCTATTTTACTCCCATGTAGTATGTCTGCTGCTCTTCTGAAACAGTTCCTTATGCATTCCAGGCAGGCCTCCCACTCACTACGCAGGATCCTGTTTCCACTACCCAAGTGTTGTGATGACAGACATGTACCACTGCACCATTCAATCCCTATTTCTAAAATTCTGTATATATAGAAGAACATAAATGCTATTTTATTGTACATCCATTCATCTAGTACTTCAACTAGTCATTACTTAAATATTCATATGGTTTAAACTCACCTAACAATTCTTGAGTAATGATGGCATGATTACCAGAAAAGCATTTCCCCATGGCTGTCACAGATCTATCCCTACTGTGACCCATCTTTTGACCTAACAACATGTTTCTGAACCACGTGACTGAAGAATATCTACATACCACACAGATTTTTCTTCTAAAAATTGCCTCTTCTACAACCATTCCAGGTTTTAAAAACCATAAACAAAGCCCTACAAAGAACTTCGGGGCTGGAATGTGGCTTTGTCAGCTGGTGTCCACAACTATCTTTCACCTACCTGGAGTAACTACAAAGTGAAGGTGAGCAGCTCTCTTCCCAGACAAAACACACACCACAGCTCAGCCCCACCCGAATCCACCTGACCGGTCCTCTGCAGATGGGGAGCAGAACACCCACTGCCCCATAGGTGATCCTTGTGAACCACGAAGCCGGGAGCTGCAGCTTGTCCCTCTGCAGCTACGTCCTTCCAGAAGCTCCAGGAAGCCTGGGGTAGGAGGGCTTCCCAAGCCCATGGCAGGTCTCTTCTAAGAGACCATCCAAGGCTGTTCTCAACAACTACATCTCATCTCAGATGGCCTGGTCAGCACCTCCAATCACCTGTCACTGTGCTACATTCAGATGGGAGCCACATTTTTACCTTGTTTTTAGGCTACAGAACACAGAAATCACAACTTTTTACTACACTAAAAGCCAAGCCCAACAATCTTGAGGATGGTGGTCTGCACACAGAAACACACAAACTTGGAAATGCAACCAACACAGGGGCTCATAATAATCAGCCCCAACTACGAAGTGAGGTGATGGCCCCAGAATTCGCACAGGCAGCCCACTGAAGAGGCACTGTGGGGGGTCAGCATGTATCTTCCAACTCTGAAAGTGCAGCTGCAGAACCTCAAAGGGAAGAGAAATTACAACTGTTTTGTAGGCAAAGAAGAAACAAAAGCACAACTCTGGGAGACAAAGGCTGGAAACTAGTCTCTAACTCCCTTTCCTGTTGCCAGGCTTAACCCGCTCGGGTCAAAGAACACAAACTGCTTGGAGGACAGAAGGGAGGGAATCCAGCGTGCAGTTCAGAACTAAGGGTTCAGGGCTCCTGCTGCAGCAGCAAGTGCCCAAGGTTGGAACCGTGGCTCCCTGATGCCTGCTCTTACTGTGCGAGCCAGCGTGTATAGTATTACATATTAAACAAACGCTTTCTCCTTTATACCCCCAACATCCTGTTAGAATTCATCTTTCTAAAACTGAGAACAAACAAAACTGTCTAAAACCTGCACATTTGTTTGCAAAGTCAGAATAAAAAACCGAGATTTGTTAGTTTATCTGGGCTAGAGATCTCAACACTGTTGGGTTTAAGAACTGTTGCTGGTGCCTTCTCTATCCCATGGTCCTTCTTACCCAGGGAGTGTTTAAACATCTACTTTCTAAGCAAAGATTTTTGAGAACGTTATTTTAATCAAATTACACCCAACTTCTGACCTAGAGCGAAAACACTTATCGATATGGTAAAATACATTTAGCTGGCAAGCACGCTAAGCAAAGGTGTATGCTTTCACTCAAAGGATTACAAAATTACGTCTCTACCCTACCTCTTTAGAGATCCCCTGCTTGTGTCCTTACCCCTGCCTAAGACAAAACTAAAAGGGATTTGGGTGGTCACATTCTTCAGTCTCTGACACCATCTAAGAAGTGTGAAAGGAGGCCAGAAACTATCTCCACTTAATCAGAAACGGTCCCTTCGAACACTCTGTACCCACTACCACCCACCCTTGTTATTCCCATCCTCTTAAAGCTGTACAATCCAAAGGGGAAGGAGGGTAGAGAAAATGTACTACCAAGAGGTGAAACAACACAAAATTCTCCCAGAGCTGGGGAGCAAGGCAGCTTGGGGACACCATGGCATTCTGACTAGCCCTCAGGACCATCAGGTGGCTGGAGTGTCCCTTCCCAGGCAACCTTGTGTAAGGCATACCTAACATCTCTTCAAGCTCAATGGCAATGAAGTCCTTCAGAGCCGTCGCTCAGGATCCCTGGATTAGCATATGCAAACTGAAGTGACTACTTGAAATTGACCCAAAGCCCACATGCCTGGTGCTGAAGAAGGCTGCTTCCAAAGTACAGGCAAGGCACACGATGCTTTTGTTTTGTTTTAAATTATACCTGCTGGGGAAGGAGAGAGCATAAAAGCACACTACATTACCGAATTCTCTCCGCTGAATGGGGGTGTCAGCGACGACTGAGGAGAGCCTGACTCAGAACAGAGGACCGGAGGACGAAGATAGCAGCCTCCGCCGACCCCAGTCCCTCCGCCGCCGACCCCAGTCCGTGACCCGGCTCCTGGTGGCTTATCATCCCTCCAGACCTGAAAGTCCCTACCTCAAGATCAATCAAAAGCTGGGGGTTGAGGGTGGGGGAGAACACGTCTTCGGAAGGCGCAAGCAAGGCCACCGTTGGATGAATGAAACTGGGCTAAGGGTACCAGGAGCAGGATTTTCGCTGAAGTCAGAAAAAGAGAGGTCAAAAGGATTTTTTTTTTCCAAGTGTGACAGCGGGCACAAGCGTCTGGGGTACACAGTCGGCACCGACAGGCTTTGGAGGAAGGTTGTATTGACCACTGACGCTGAGGACAGGCAGTAGGGACGAGCGGCCGGCGGGGACCACGAGCAGCTTCTCGACGCGTGGGAGTAGAGCGGGGCCGGCCTCGGCTCTCTCGCGTGTCCTTCCGCGGTCCTTCCACCAGACTCCGGAGGGCCGGGGTCCCGAGGACAGCCTCGGCCCCTGCATACATGGCACACCCCCCTCCCGCGACCGCGCACACGCGCGGGCACACACCCCCCTCCCCCGCCTCCCGCGCGCACCCGGCCGCGCCGAGCGCCCGACCCATGCGCGCCCCCTCTGCGCACCCGGCCTCCCGTGGACAGATCGCGCGAGGGGGCCCGCCCGGTGTCCAGATGGCCGGGGACGCGGGGCTGGGAGGCCTAGAGGCGGCGGGGCGGGCCCGCGCGGGAACCGGTCTGAGGGAAGGTCACTTACCCGCCGCATGGCTTTCAGAATCAAAGCCAACTCGTAGCGGGGCATGGCCCGGGATCACGGCGCCGAGTCGAGGCGAGCTGGGGTGCCGGGACTCCGAGGGCGGGGACGCGGGGCGCAGAGCGGCGAGGGGAACGAGGGAAGACGGGCCGGTGAGCTCCCGGGCAGCGGAAAGCACCGTGCGACCGCGCGAGCCGGGCTTAAAGACTCTGGCAGCTGCGCAGACGGAACGCCCCGCCCACCTGGAGCCCCGCCCACAAGGCCAGGCCCCGCCCCGCCCCTCCGGGCGCCCGCGGCTGCGCCTCCGCGGGTTCCTGCTCGAGCTCCCGGACAGTCTCTCTGTCCCCTATCCTGCGGGCTGCGGACACGGTCTGCAGCAACCCGTGGGAGGCCGCATCCTCGCTCGACACGCACCCGTTCCCCGCCGCCTCCGCGCCTACCAACCTTGATCTCTGGAACCCGGTGGAACTTTCTAGGCCTTCCTCCGCTGGGCGCTAGGCGAGCGTGTGCGCGTGCGCCGCGGTGCGGTCTGGCAGGGTGGTGTGCGCCCCTCGCCCGCGTCCCCAGGGAGCAAGGCGGGGTGCTAACGAGTGCCTGAAGCACCAAGCCGCAAAGAAACAAGCCTGGAACCGAAGGGCTAATATGGGCTTTTGCTGTGTGCGCCTGGCCTGACCCAAAAGCAGGCTAATGATTCGACTCTAGTCAATTGTTCTTTAAAGGTTACCCCTGCTTCCAGGTAAAGGATCCTGAGAGTTCCCTATAGGGTACCAGAGTGAGGAGGGGCATCGTAGAGGGTCAGGTCCAGCACTCCCCAACACACACACACACACACACCAGAGAGCTCAGAACTCCCCTCCCTTTTGCCTCTAGAGTGAGGTGCTGTTTTCTCAGCTCGGCTCCAAGGGCGCTGCTCCAGCTGCAGATGCCGTGCCCTGGTCCCAGCTTACCCCACTGAAAGGGTCTCTAACTGAAATGTTCTCTTAAGTTTAAAGTGCTCTAACAACTGGTAGTAATTTATTGCGCGCTTAAGGTCTGTATCAGGCACAACACTTAGGCTGTTGCAAGAGTCATTCTCACGAGCTCTGTGAAGCAAATCGTATTCAACCTATTTTAGGTATTAGCAAATATAAACATGCAAGGATAATTTAATTAGTCCAAGGTCATATGCACGCAAGAGACACAATTTGGGGCCCAACTGTCTGAAAAGTAGGTTCACTGCCTACACTTCTGGACCTCCCCCGAGGTCCTAGTCAATGGCATTAGATAGCTTTGTAAAGCACAGAGACTATCTTTGCCACCTCCTCCACAGGCCATTTAGAATTTCCTGCCACCAAACATGAAGATTGTGAGTACAACCCGTGAGCCTGAGTTCTTAACATTTTCATTTCTCAGGTTTGTCCATAGCACCCTTCTATACAGAAACCACACAATCTATAAGTCGCCTACTTAGCTTCCACCACGCTCCTGTTGGTTTTTTTGGGGGGGGGGGTGTATTTTATTGTATTTGGTTTGTTTGTTTGTTTCTTTGTTTAAGATGGCATATTAAAAGAACAGAAGGAAGAAAGAATTTCTGGTCTTTCAGAAGTGAATTCCAGATCTGTCTAACATCCCACTTCAACCGCTCTTCCTGTTACCAATTCCGTGACCCAGTTAAGGAATGAAAAGATAGGAGGCCCGCATTCCCAAGCCAAGCAAAACACTAAACAGCTCTGCTGAGCTGACCAGCCGGGAGCATCTCCTCTTGAAAGCACCACAGGTTCTCCCTGATGCCCAGGGAGGAGTGACAGCCTGGTTGTCTAGCCTGGAGGGGAGGGGAGAAAAACAGCCCCATGACACAGTGCCTCAGGGGGAAGAGGCAACACCCCATAACCCTCTCAAGTTCTTACCCCCACAGAGTCATCCCGTTTCTTAAATGAAAACAGAAATTAGCTATCATAATTTCACCCTCCCGTTTCAATTTTTTTAATAAGTGGTTGTGATTCGTTAACTTTTTTTCTTGAAATTTTGAGAGATGATGATGCAAATTCAGCATCTTCCAAGTAAAACGTCAAGTTGAAGTTTTATCGGGATAATTTTAAATTGTATATATACTCTATGTAGAATCATAAGCTATTCCTACATTATTTAGTTATTGATCTAGAAAATACCTTTTGGGATCTTGAAAAATATTTAATGTGGTCGATAACATAAGAGTTTCTTAAGCAAAGATTTTGGTTAATTTTCAAGTAAATTCTTTTGAGGAGTAATAGGAAGAGAGAATTCAAAACAAAAGTTAAATCAAATATGCCCCAGGTCAGTTTAATCACAGTCGCCTTCTCATTTTCTACATAGTGTGAAAGACCTGACCTTGAGCTCTCCGTCATAACACTCACAGACAGCTGAAGAATTTTATTATTATTACCAGGCCTAATATTTCAAGCATTCACTGTGAACCAGGAAGCGCTGTAAGTGCTTTGCATTTGATATTCGTTTCTGACCATAAAGATAGGTGTTAGCACCCCTGCCACATACACAGGAAGAAAATGAGACTTAATAGATCTTCCATCACTTCCATCTGCCCCAAATCAGACAGAATTCTGGACTTGCACACTTAACCCTAATATCGCACAGCCTTTCAGGGCCCCCTAGCCAATTTGCGGCTATTGGTCCACCAACAGTACCCCACGTGACTGCCATCTCCCCCTCCAGCACCCGTGCCAAACTCTCCCCTAAGGCTTCGTCCTCCTCCCCTCAAGCCACTGCGGGTCTGTTTTCATTTGTCTTAGCCCTGTTGCCCTCTCAACTTCTCTCTCTTTTCAACCACGTTTCCCGAGGGGTCTCCAAACCTACTCTGCCTCTTTCCAGACTTTGTAGGTCTGTGTCTGCCCTGGCTATTACTCCAGAGTCTCCAGGTCTCCTCCCCAGGAGCTGTTTCCCAGGCATCTCTACCAGGATCCTCGCTGCCATCCTGATAATCCCTTCGAGTCCCTTTTCCCCTCCCTGTCCCTGTAGCTGATCTCCAACAGAGGCAGCATCCCGGTAGCTAGGATTAAAGGCACAAGGGGGCCATTACCCAAGTTCCCTTAATTCAGGTGCATAGGAATTTGCCTGGGAAGGAATTTGAGTTGATCCCTGTCAGGATCCCAGTCTACTGTGGCGATGCAGGTCTATAAAAGCGAGGAGTTCCTGGTCTGTAGATAGGGAATGTGATAAGGAAGCAAGGTAAATTATTTATCCCGAGTCACACAGCCCTGGGCTGGTACAGCTCAAAGGAGCTTACCAGCTTCTTCTTGCCATCTGTGGGCTCAAGCCTTCAATTCTGCTGTTGTCAGTGGATTAACCTAAAGGGTGCAGGACTGTTACTGGGGAGAGGTAAGTCACATACAAATCGTTCCGCTTGTGGCCCCTGCTGTACCTAAATATACCCTCCAGAAAGTGAAGAAATGTGGGCAGGGAGCTCACTGATCAGTTACAGATGTGTACCGCTGTCCCACAAGACCCAAATTGGATTTCCAGCACCCACATCACAACGACCTGTAACTCCAGTTTCAGGGAATCTGGTGCCCTCTTCTGGACACTGAGAGTCCCTGTGTGTGTGTGCATAGATCCACATAAAGTGGAGAAATATGTAAGTTTTCTTTTAACAAATGATCACCCACCTGTCATCTTCTCCCTCGTGAAAAGGAGCTTGCGTTAAAGGCACAGTGCGTGTATTTCCTGAACGGCATCTCAGTTGGGGCTGGGATTGCTCCACAGCCCTCTGCTCCTGTCACCTACACCTGGCCTGCCCCTGGCTGTGCCTGCCTGGTGGCTCAGTATGCATTTGTGTTTGTCAGCCAGTGGACCAATGTAGGCCACAACATTTCAGACTTATTTTAAGTGTTTTACCTGTGACTCTCCTCTCTTCTCTGGTCTTTCCTAAACCTCTACATGCAACCTTCATGAACCCTTCCCTATCCTTTGGTCACACCCACTTACCTCAGATTCCCTTTCTTCTCAATAAACTTGGACTAACCATTGCCTGTCTAGATCAGTTTGTATGTGCTATCTATCAGTGACCCTGAGAGCAGAACAGATTGCTGCATGGAACCTTTTTTTTTTTTTGGTTTTTCGAGACAGGGTTTCACTGTAGCTTTGGTGCCTGTCCTGGAACTAGCTCTTGTAGACCAGGCTGGCCTCGAACTCACAGAGATCTGCCTGTCTCTGCCTCCCAAGTGCTGGGATCATTTTTTAAGGTAGAGATTTGAAGAATTCTTTAAACATTTTCTCACTTTTCATTTGCCAGTTTCCAAATTATTTTTAAAATTTTTGATGAAGTAAATTTTGAGGGAGAAGGGTTTCAAACTGGGACTCTGCTACAACAACAAAAAAAAAAGGAACAGCTGAGGTCTTCATGGCATAAGTTCTCTTACCTCACCCTCTCCTGTTAAAAAGAAAAGCTGGGGCTGGAGAGATGGCTCACCTGTTCAAATATATACAGCTCTAGCAGGGGACCTAGAGAGGTTCCCAGTGTGTATGTGTGTCAAGGTGTGGCTCACCCCAGGGGAATCCAACCCCTCTAACCTCTGTGTGTGTGTGTGTGTGTGTGCTAAAACACATACCACTAAAGTGATAAAAATAATTTTTTTCCTTAGAAAAGTTATGGGCTGTTCTATGAGAGATGCTCTTACCACATTTTCTAGTAAAGAGATACTTAATAGATTTTTTTTTAAACGATGGTTTTTAAAGGCAAAATACTCCCTTCCACTTGCCAAGCTGGTTTTTCTTTACCAACAGTGTTGTGAAGTGCCCCCTACCAGCTTGTCATAGGCCCACAAGGGTCCTTGGTGTTCAGTGTCAATAATATTGGAGGGATGAAGCAGCTTTCTTGCCACCAGAGCAAATGCATAAGAATTCTCTGGAAGCATTTTTCAAACTTAGCAAAAAGAAGAAAGGCCAGCAGCTGGGGGATCCGGAGAGGAGACAAACACCATCTGCCCAGGGGTTCCAGCATCAGCTTTCCGAGGGGGGCTCCTCCAAGTGAGGCTCCGAGGGGGCTCCTCAAGTGAGGCTGGGCATGCAGTGATGCAGCGGGCTGGGCGGCTCTGCACTAGGAGCTCTGAGATTGCAGGTGACAGTGACAGAAGCTGGGGCAGGCGGGGACAAAGGGGACGAGGGCAGAGCGCAGCGCCAAGGCTACTGTAGCAGGCGAAGGGGGTGTTCCTCAGTTCCTGAGGGTTGAAGACATGTGAGGACACCCGAACTGTAGCGCTCAGGACTGGTAGGATGTCTCCTCCTGAGGCAGTTTTGTTTGTTCAGGTCACACCTGTCTTGGGGATGTCCTCAGCTCTTAATTCATAAGGCTTATTTCTCAGTTCAATTCATGTATTCTCCCTCATGAAATACGACTTTTGGATCTGCTACAGTGGCATCTTTTATCACGCCGGCCTCAACAGTCAAGGAGGGCAGTCACACAGCAGGCCACAGGGAGCCTACCTTTAAAGGATACTGCCACCTTGAGAATGCTGATAGACAGCGTGGTGACCACCAGCCAACACTTCCTGGTAAGGTCAATGTCCAAGAATCTCCCGTCGGCGAAGACCATCCCACCCTCCTCGGCTTGCAGGCTCGGTCTGGAGGTGGCTCCAGTGCCAACAGGGGAACACTGTGTTCAGACTGGACTGACAGAGGATTAGTCACGGGAATCAATCTTACAGGCACCAAATTATGCTCAATGGTTATTCAGCACACGTTGATTCAGCATGAAGATTGTCTGAATAAATAGTTCTGGGCTGAATCTGAACTGTTTTGAGCTTCCCTTTTATTATGGAACAAGACAAACAGATTCATTGAAAAGGAATAGAGAGAAATGGGGATTGGAAAGATGGCTCAGTGGTTGAGAACACTTCCTGCTCTTCCAAGGGAATCTGCGTTCACTTCCCAGTACTCATGTGGGACATTTCCCACCCCTTGTAACTCCAGCTCCAGGGGATCTGATGCCCTCTTCCGGCCTTTGCAGGAGCATGCACTCATATGCCTGCACACACACACACACACACACACACACACACACACACTTCATTCAAAATAATAAAAATAAATCTTGTTCTTGATGTGTGTATGAGGCAAAGGGAATTACAACAGAGAACATGAGAAATAAATAATCTTTTACAGGAGAAGATATAGCAAGCTAAATGTCTCATAAGCAGATATGGTATGGGAGGTCCTTCTGTCTATGTATTGGTTTTATTGGTTAATGAATAAAGAAACTGCTTTGAACCTATAGCAAAGCAGAGCTAGGTGGGGAAAACTGGACTGAATTCTGGGAAAAAGAAGGTGGGGTCAGGGAGAAACCACATAGCCCCGCTGGATACAGACACCAAAACTTAACTCTGTAAGCCATAGCCTCGTGGCGATACACAGATTAATGGAGATGGGTTAAATTAAGATGTAAGAGGTAACCAATACGAAGTTAGAGCTAATTGGCCAGGCAGTGATCTAATTAATAAAGCATCTGTGTGGTTATTTCGGGAGTCTGGGCAGCTGAGAAATAAACAAGCGGCCTCCTACAACAAGGGAGATGTTCTTGATTTTGAATTTAGAATCATTAAGTTGATCTATACTATTTCAATATATAATGTGTGTTGTGTTTAAGTTGCTTTATTTTAAAACAATAAATCTAGTGGCAACAATATCAGTGGCTATCTATACTACCTGGGGGTAAATATTTCAGATATAATTAAAATTACAAGACAATTGGGAACTTTCAGGTGGTTCTTTTCAGTATCTTTCATCCTGAACTGAGAACCTAAGAGTGTGTGTAGAATCTATCTAGGGAACTTGGTTCCCAACTTGAACAAAGGAGCCCCCAGGTCTGAGAAGACCTTTCCCGGGACAGAGGCTCTGTTATTATTGTAGATGAAGCAAGTTGTTTTAGTGACAAGCTGAACATCGTTTGTGGTATTTGGTATTATTACATTATTAGTTTATCACATGGCTCCTACACAGGGTTAACTTCCAGCAATCTGCTGTTTTCAGACCAGAATCCTTTATTGTCTTTTCTCCTTTGCTCTAAAATATCCAAAATCTAAATGAGATGGTGTCCCAGGATCAGGGATGACACTTCCTCCTCAATCACGTATTAACCTGGCTGACGTTAAAGAGCAACAAGACAGGAGAATCTGCCCCTGCCCCCGTCCTTAACAGTTCTGTGATTAGGAAGTGACAAGATCCCAGATTCAGCCACCGCATCATCCCAGAGCCATTGGTCCAGGGGCTCTGGGAGCAACGCTACTGAACTGGCCTCCATGTGGGCACACAGCCTCTGGGATGCAGGCAGGGCTCTGGGTAACGCCACCTGCAGTAACAACACCCTTAGGACTCAAACAAACCCTCTACTCCCCACTCCACTGCCACTCACCTGGGTACCATGAAGCACATCCTCTGAGGTGTGGTCAAAGGCTTCTTCAGAGTCGCCACAGAAGATGGTGTGATTCTGTCTCTCCTCAGTCCATATACAGCCGTGGTTCCCCACTGCCCCCAGGATGAAGTCCAGATTCCTCCCTCTGCAGGGAGCCCTGCCTGCTTTCATTCCTTTGGCCACTCCTGGCCACCGTTCCTGCTGTCGCGCCTATAGCTCTGCAGGCCTATTCCCTGCTGACTTTTGCCCTCTGCCTGGCATGCGCATCTTTCCCTTCATTTGGCTTATTCCTACCTTCCCCTATTTTTATTATAAACGATATCTCATAAGCAGAAGTTGCACAAAGCACATGTAATCTAAAAGAGCGTCAGCTAACGACCCTTCCACACCTCCCTAGAAATACCATCGCTCCTCTGACCCTTTCCTTGCTTTTCTTCAAGGTCTTTATCTTTTGTATACACGTTGCTAAGCGATGGCATGTTCCTGCTTGTTTTGAATGTTGTGTGTCTTGTTCTCCTCCCCAACATTAGGTTGATGAGATTCAGCCAGTCATTGAACACAGCTCATTTCCTCTGCGGATACAGCATTGTACAACCAAACCTCCATGCCTGCATTCTACCATCGACGATGACGGGCTGGTTGTCGGGTGGACGGTTTATTACCGACAGAGCCCGTAGAAACATTCTTGCCCTTGTAGACTCATATCTAGACGTGCATGTTTGAGCGTTTGCTAAGACCAGGACCTTGGAGTGGAATGTGCCTTCCTGGTATGCAAAACAGCTTTTCCAGCTAATTGCTAAGGTTTTCTGAAGAAGTGGCCTACCCAGCACTTTCATCTACAGTGTGGATGATTTTGCTAACTTCCGGTCTGTATTTTGATCGGGCTGTAGGCAAGCCTGTAGAGCATTTCCTTAGTGACTGATGGCGGAGGGCCCAGCCCCTGGTGGGTGGTGCCATCCTTGGACTGGTTGGTCCTGGGTTGATATGGGAGTGTCATATATCAATCTGTTGATTTCATTGGATAATTAAATAAAGAAACTGCTTGCCCTGATAGGTTAAAACATAGGTGGGAGGAGTAAACAGGAGGAAGATGGGAAGAGTAAACAGAATGGAATGCTGGGAAGAAGAGGAAGTGAGCTCAGACCCGATAGCTCTGCTCTCTGGAGCAGAGATGCCATGCTCAGTTCTCCCAGGTAGACGCGATAGCTCTGCGCCCTGAGGCAGACGCATGAAGCTCAGACCCAGGATGGACGTAGGCTAGAATCTTCCCGGTAAGCGCACCTTGGGGTGCTTACACACATTATTAGAAATGGGCTAAATTAATATGTGAGAATTAGCCTAGAAGAGGCTAGATAGAAATGGGCCAAGCAGTCTTTAAATGAATACAGTTTGTGTGTTGTTATTTCGGGCATAAGCTAGCAGGTGGCTGGGGTGCTGGGGACACAGCCCCGCCGTTCTTATTACAACACTGGGTTCTATAAGAAAGCAGGCTGAACAAGCCATGGGGAGCAAGGCAGTAAGCAGCTTCCCTTCCCTGGCCTCTGCATCAACTCCCACCTCCAGGTTTCTGCCCTGTGTGAGTTGTGCCCTCACTGCTTTTGATGAAGAGCTGGTATATGGAACTGTGAGTCCCCAGCTTGCTTTTGACTAGGGTGTTTCCCACAATAGTGACCCTCACTAAGACAGTCAGGGACCCCTGTCTGTGTGGTCTCCACCTGTGCTTCCTTTACCACCATGCTAGCATACCTTATTGGATGTGGAAAACTGCTGGCCAGGTCCCCAGCTGCTGTCCCTCCATTCCTTTGCTCCATTTAAAAGCAAATGTCACATAGTCCTCTGGTTGCTACTCACTGTCAGTGACTGATGTTTGAAGAAGAACCGTTCCCCATAGGTAAACACCGGGTCCCCATTGGTGGAGCTTTTTGGGGGAGGGTATCAAACATTCAGGAGGTAGGGCCTTGCTGAAGGAAGTGCATCGCTGGGCACAGGTTTTGAAAGTTTACAGCCTCACTCCACTTCCAGTTACCTCTCTCAGCCTCCTATTTATAGTTGAGGATGTGGTCTCTCAGTTCCTGCTCTGGCAATCAGTCGTCAGTCAAGCCTCTCTCCCCCACCGTTTACAGACTCTCCCTCTGGAACCCGAAGCCAAAAGAAAGTCTTTCTTCCATAAGTCCCTGTTGGTCACAGTGTTTATCACAGCAACCAAAAAGTCACCCATACCATGGCTGAACATCATGGCAGTGTGAAGTAGGACTGGTGTCTGACATATCGGGACTGTCCTGATGAGGTCGTCACATCTGATAGACGTTATTACACCTAGAGTACACAGAGAAAGTCAGAATTCAACCAGGGGCATGTAATAATGTGAAAAGGTGTTTGTAGTGGTACTTTCTGGTCAGGACCACCAGCCCACAAATAATGACAAGGAGCCCTTTATGAATTATGAAAGCTCAACCTTAGCTTAGACTTGTTCCTAACGAGTTCTTATAACGTTTTCCCACACGGTTCATGACCCCGGCTGCCTACTGCCCATCTGCTTCCTCCACCTTTCTTCTCCCCAAAGTTTGCTCCCTGCCCAGAAGCCCCACCTGTGCTCTCCTGCATAGCTATTGGCCGCTCAGCTTTTCCTTTCACCAATCACAGCAATACATCTTTGCACAGTGCACAAGTATCCCACAACAGGTGTTCACCATTATCACTTCCAAGCAGATGCAAGTTAAAACTAAGGTGTGCTATCAGTGCGGGCCTTTTAGAGGAGAGGAAATTCAGGACTCTAAAGACCACGTGGAGGAGACAGAGCCACTGAAACACTCAATGGGGATGAAAACGGAGACTTCATTCTGGCACCTTCTTAAAATGTCTTATCCAGATCTCATGTGACTCAAACACTCTGTTCTTACTTCCACACGATGAAGAAGGGCGCAGAACCACGCAAATAACTGGTCTCAGGATTAAAGCCAGAAACAATTCAAATGGCCGTCAAGAGGTAAATGGCTGAGCAAGCCGTTACATATCCGCAGGATGAAGTACTGCTCAACAGTAAAAAGGAATGAATTATTGGTGTGGTTAGCAGCATGGATGCCTCTCAGTGAAGCTGGTCTGGAAAAAATAGATCTTAAAAAGTACATATTAAATGTGTTCATTTGTATAAAAATTTTAAAATGAAAAATGACAGTGACAGAATTGTCCCTCTGAGCTGGAGTAAAGTAGAGATTACGGGAGCACAAGAGAGTTGGGGGCAGGGATATGAACAGATCAAAGGCAGAGAGTTGGGGGCAGGATGATGGACATATCAAAGCCACCTTCAGCTACATTGTGAATCTAAAATTGCCTGGATCATCCCAGACCCTGTCTCAAAACAAGAGGAAAAAGGAGGAGAGGTTCAGGAAGTATTGACCAGGTTTCTCTGGCCATAGGGGAAACCATGAGCCCTGCTGTGGTCTAAAAGTGTCCTCCACAAAATGTATTTGGAGTCTCGAAGACGGAATTAGGTCACAAAGGCTCCATATAGATCTAGTTGGTTTTATTTTCTTCTGTTTTGTGATTCTTTTGGTTGTTTTGTATTATTTTTTGAGACAAGGTCTCATGTAGCCCAGGCTAGCCTTGAACCCAAAGTAAACTTGACATCCTCTCAGGTGCTGAAGTTACAGCAACAGCACATGTGTTTAGACAGTGCTGGGGTGGAACTCGGGACTCCTTGCATGCTAGGCAAGCACTCAACCAACTGAGCTACATCCTTAGCAGCCCTTAAAGTGTCTTCATCGTAGACAACAGCAAATCTTCCCCTCCCAAGGATGCGGTTTTCAAGATGTCGTCTTAGAAGCAGATACATCCTCTCCCAGGCAAACAACCTTCCTGGCTCCTTTACTTTGGACTTCCAAATCTCCAAAACAGAAAAAAAAAAAAAAAAACCTGTTTTTTATGAGCTAGCCAGCCTCAGGTGGCCTGTTACACAGACCCCAACACATGTCCCTTGAGACTACAGTATCTAAGGGAGGTTTCCTTGATGCAGGTGACCACTTACATTTACTTGTTTTGAAAATGCTGCAGTCAAATGTTTATGACCTAAGTACTTCTAAACCTTTGCATTTCACTCATACTTTTCATTCTTTTAACATTGTCCAGACTGGTTGAAATTTGCTGTTTCCAAGGCTGGCCCACACCAAACAGTCCTTCTGTCTCAGCTTCCTAAGTGACAGGATCACAGTCAGGCCCCACCACACAACTATAGCTTATTGGTATCTAGTGATTTCTGTATAAAAATAAGATTCATCAGCTTCACTTTCTCTTTAATATTGAAATGACTAAAGTTTGTCATCGTAAATTCCCCTAAATATCTAATTTTATAAAGTGATTAATTTCCTAAAACATTTTGGGTACACTAGAGTTGATCTTCGAAAACATGACAGGGCAAACCTATGCCCCTGAAATGACTGGAATTAAGAAATCTAGTGAAAGACAGTGAGTAGCTGCCAACTTCTTCTGACCATGAATTCCCACCCTTTTGACTTTTCCATGACACTGATGAGTTTTGATTCAACTTGCACAGATGAGTTTTGATTCCCAAGCACAGATTGTAATTTACAGACTCCCTTGCAGCTATATGTGATGATGTGACTGAGTATGAGCCAATGAGAAGTGAGAATATATGATAGGCAGCACAGTGAGCCAATGAGAAGTGAACAAAAATGATAGGTGGTACAGAGGACCACTTTCTGTCTGACTTACCAAATAAGAGAGAAATAAACATCTATCTATATTGACCAATAGGTTAGGCTATAGTTCTGTAATATACCCTTCAAAGTCAACTCATAAACTTAGTTAATTATAGTCTCTTAAATGGTTCAAAATTTAAATTCCCTGTACCACAAAACGTTTCAAATTAAAATTGTAAAACTAATATGGCAGTTTCCTTACTCTATCAGATCATCGGTAGTTTCTCAAGTTCCCCTCGTGACCATGACACACACCTGCCCTCACACAGGTGCCATAGCGGTCTGTGCTGTGCTGCAGAATACTACACACTCGGGAAATTCTAAACCTAAATCTGTTTCTCACAGGCTGGAGGCTGGGGCTCCAAGATCAGGGATGACATGCTGCGTCCTCTCATGGCAGAAGGGCAAGGGGTTGAGCATTAAAGGCTGGGGAAAGTGTAAGCTCACGAGAGAGAGCTGGACTTGTGTGGGAGGTGTGTGTGTGTGTGTGTGTTTGGGATCTCACACTAGCAAAGTTTGCTTTTTGTCCTGATAACACCACAACCGTGTCTGAGGCATGTGTGTGGAGGGGTGGGGGTTACCTGGGTACATATGTATGTGCTGACACACCTGTACATGTGGATTTGTGCATGTGGAGATCATAGGACAACTTTGCGTGTCATCTCCA